CTCTCTCTCTCTCTCTTTCCCTCTCTCTCTCTCTCTCTCTAAAACACACACACTCTTTCCTCAAAGACAGGCACTACATTTTTCATCTTCCCAGGATATAGCATGAATCTGTTTATGCCTGAGCTTTCTCAAAAGTAACACGTTTATCCAGGTAGCTCAAGATGAGAATTAAGCAGTGGTTTACTAATACTGCATACATTACTATGAAGTCAATTCATAATCAATAAGTATTCACTGGAGATGTGGTTCAGATATACTTTTTAAAATAAATTCAGGATCATGTGTGTCTGCACATGTACTTTTCTCTTTAAATGAAACATTCTGTGTCTCTGAGGACTTCCATTAGGCATGGAAAACTGAAACATGTTCCTGTCTAAAGTCTTCTTGAGATTTATGGATTGATAGGAAGCCTCGAAGCCAAAGGTTCTTGATTTAATTCTGGTTTTGGAATAACTCCTTGGCCTCATTCTCTGTATTTACAGGATGAGAATTATAATGTTTTGAAACTCGGGATCCTGATGGGTTGATTAGGGGAGCTTGATGATGGCTTTAGGAGGTGCTCCTAGTGGGTTTGGTGTCTTGCCCTGGGTTTGTAGGCTGGCAGCAGGGGCCTCGCCCTAGTGCATCGGGGACATTGGCGTGTGTTTTCAGATCTGTGTCCCTGACACGTGGCATTGGCCATGCTGTGCCTCTCACGGGCTGAGAGGACTCTTCTCTGTGCTCTCCCCAGCCAGGCCGAGGAGATGCCTGGTTCAGAGGCCATGCTCATAGCCATGCTTATAAGTAAGTGAGCACAAACACACGGTGAGCGGAAGACCAAGGGCAGGGAAGAGACCAGGCTGGGAACAGATGTTCCCTTGTGCAGGAGAGAAGAATTTGGGACTTTGAGACAGAGAAGGGCATCCCAAAGATCATGCATTAGAGAGGAAGAGGAAGGAGGCGTTCTAGATGAAGGGGAAAGAGTGACAGCGAAGGATGAACTTCCGAGGCAGGAAGGAGAAGGTGCATCCTTTGCTGTCCTGCATACCTGTGGTTGCCCATCACAGGGGGTCTGCCCTGGATGGGTGGCAAGGTCAGCACCTCTTTCTGACACTAGGAATCCAAAAGAGTCTCCTGAAGACTCCTCTCTTCTGATGTTTTCCCTGGGATGGCTCCAGGCTGGCTACTTTGAACCTCAGGAAGCTTTACTGAGCTCCGGGTGTCTGGACTTGGAACTGGGTGAGGCCCATGGTGGCTGAGAGGTTCTTGTCACCAGCTACGTGCTAGCCCTGTACCAGACATGGGCACTTGCCCCACCTGCGGCACTGACCATTGACCAGGCCTGGGGTGGGATTCGGGTGTCAGCACTTTTTTTTTTTTTTTTTAAGATTGTATTTATTTATTTGAGAGAGAGAATGAGACAGAGAGAGAGAGCATGAGAGGGGGGAGGATCAGAGGGAGAAGCAGACCCCCTGCTGAGCAAGGAGCCTGATATGGGACTCGATCCCGGGACTCCAGGATCATGACCTGAGCCGAAGGCAGTTGCTTAACCACCTGAGCCACCCAGGCGCCCAAGGGTGTCAGCACTTTTTAAAAGCTCCTCAGATGATTGTGTGTGCAGCCAGGCTGGAGAAGCACGGCTGCTTAGGGGAGGAGTGGCTGGAGAGACCCGCTCACCTTATTTCCCTTTTCTTCCTTCCCTGTTGCCCTCACAGATTACGGCACCATTAAAAAAGTGCGGGCGCCCGTGGCTCTGGCTGCCGGCAGCTGTTTGCTGGAAGAGATCGAGCTCTTCCCCGAACGGCGGGGGGAGCCCATCAGGAGCCTGCAGATTCTCCACAGCCAGAGTGTCCTGTTTGTGGGCCTGCAGGAGCACGTGGCCAAGGTCCCACTGAAGAGATGCCCGTTCTACCGCACACGCAGGTAGGTCAGCCCCGGCGGTTTATGGCATTATCAGGACCTTAACGTTCTTGTGAGCCCTGCATCCCGGGATGCAGACTTTGATGCAACCTCATTTCCCATGTTGGGGAATAACCTGCCAGGGTCTGCAGGGGAGGAACCACGTTATGACATCTGTAAACAGTTGTCAGCGTTAAAATAAACTCTTCTGTGCAGGATAACACTCAGCAATAATGCTGATATTTGGTGTTCCTGCATTCATCTGTACAAGTTTATTTTTATGGGAATATATGTAATACAGGTACAGAGCAGGCAGAGAGTAATGTGAAGCACATCATCTCTGCCCAGAGCTAATCCCCTGAGATGGAGAGATGTGGCATCCCCTCTCCGGGACAGTCCTCACGGTACTGTCCTCAGCACCATCTCTCTTGGGACACTGCCTCTCTTCTGAGGCTCCAGAACCCTATGGGCCTGGGAGGAGTGAGGAACAAGGAAGCCCTGCAGGTGCAGGGAACCCCAAGTGCCATCACCTTCCCTCAACCCTCCTCAATTCTCATTGGCCATGGGGTGTCCACCATAGACCACAGTGGCCTTCACAGCTCAGTTCAGGAGAACGCAGGCCCAGGTGCTCAGGAAACTGAAAAGTACTGTACACACTATAAACTTGACCAGCACTTGAATGTTGGAATATTGCCTAAGTGCTCTGACCCCCAACAAAAGATTGCCCTTGGGGAAATCATAATCTCAAACATTCTTAGGGATCAGTGATCTCAGTAACTCCATCCTCCAAGGCGGTGCATAAGGGCAGATTTGGTACGGAAATGGACTGTTCGGGTATATCACTCACAGATACCATTCACAGGTCATTCTTTCTCAAACAAGATGCTCCATCGCACAAGCTTTGGGGCTCAGAGACTGGCAGTCATATGACAGGCTGCATGTGCTATTTCTCGACCTGGTCACTAAAGTATTTTAGACCTCACTTTTCATCTAATACATGCGAATTGCTGTAGAGTCAAATGGGATAATGCATATAGTTTAAAATTTAAAGCTCTCTGCAAAGTGGGCATTCTCTTGTAGAAGGAAAGTTTTTATGTATAATAAAAGTTATTGCAATATTCCTTTCTAGATAATTCTAGGCAATGAAGTATATCATATGGTGCCTCCTTTGGTATCAGGGTGTGGAGGAATAATGTAAGGGACTTTCTCCCTAACAATGATGCTATGGTGAGCAATAACAACAAAGAGTGGTATTTATCAGCAACTATCTTTTATATAACACCTTTTTCCTAAAGGTAACCAATGGCTGCTTGAAATTTGTTCTGATTTGTGTTCCCTCCAAGACTGACCTAGTGCAGGAATGATTCTGCCCAGTTGCTGATGGTCAGTGGGTGACAGGGAGACTCGGGGTCTTGCCAACAAGCGTGTCACGAGCTGGAATGCCCCTGGAAGGGCCCCGATCTTCCAACCACAGCCCAGTGAGCTCTGAGTTGTAATGGATTTTGGGGGGCGTGACACAGGATAACACGCAGGAAGACATAGGCCTGTGCTTTATGTGGGGTGTTTCTGGGGCCAGAATGAGAGTTCGTGGCTTGCAAAGCAGGAGGCAGTTTGTCCTCTCCGTGGTACTTTCCATGGTACGTTGAGTCAGGGTTACAATAGCCCGGGTCCTGTGAGTGTGACCGGAAAGGCTAACGCCTGCGTCAGGTTGGGGAAGCGAGGTGTCATGGCGCCCACCTCATCTCCTGCACGGCTGCACGTGGAGCCCAACCAAGACACCCCAGGCGCCGGCCGCCACCAGGCACGGCAGGCCGGGAGGCATTCCCAGTTCCCCCTTTTTCCTGCAAGGAGAATGAGGCCACTTGTCTGTTTTCATCATGCTCCTGGGAGGAGAAGATTATACAGTTATATCCAGAGCTGAATCTCCCTGCTGTTTACTTGTCCAACCACTTGGAGAAAAGCCTCGAGAGATTAGAGCTTTATTGTAAACTGAGAGACTGTGGTCTTCTGCATCCCCACACTCAGAAAGGGTTAGATTGTGTTTGACTCTCAAGTATTCCATTTGAGAAAAGAAAATCTGAAGACTTAAACCCAAGCATTTCTGTGGATTCTTTCCATTATGTTTCTTTGCCATCCCCTTCCTATAGAAAGACAAGAAAACCTCCCTCATTAACACTAACTGGAGAAAAGGATCCATTTTTCAGAAACTAATATCTATATGACCAGATTTTTTTTGATGAATTATGGGGAAAGATTTTTTTTTTTTGACAAAAGCCAATTTCAAAGGAACAGGATAACAATTAACAAGTGAGCAGGAATTTCTTTGTTAAATATACTTTCCATAGTAGAATATAAGTAATTTCATTCCCTATTAGAAAAATCGATTTTAGGGGTGCCTGGGTGGCTCAGTCATTAAGTGTCTGCCTTCGGCTCAGGTCATGATCCCAGGGTCCTGGAATCGAGCCCTGCATCGGGCTCCCTGCTCAGTGGGGAGCCTGCTTCTCCCTCTCACAGTCCCCCTGCTTGAATTCCCTCTCTTGCTGTCTCTCTGTGTCAAATAAATAAATAAAATCTTTAAAAAAAAAAAAAGAAAAAAGAAAAATTGATTTTATAAATGAGTTTCATAATGTTTAACAAGAGAAACTGAGCTTAACTAAAGTACCTGTCTCCTTCCCCAAATCATATTCACATTTAAAAAAAAATTTTTTTAGTATCCATTTTTCAAAGGCCATGCACAGTTTGATGTCTATTAAGATGTTTATAAATGATAACAGTCGATACAGTCCCATGAGTTTCTTTTACATGTCGGGCTCTGTGCTAGTTCTTACCATGGTCTCCTGTCACCACTACACCCTGAGGGTCAAGTCAAGGTCATTTTTAGATGAGGAGATGGGGGCTCAGATGTTTGGATCCTGCCCAAGGTCACATACCTCGTGCAATATGAAACCCAGGTTCAGGGCTGGAGCTCTGACCCCAAGGCCCAGGCTTTGTCTTTGGTTCACTGGGCTGCCCCTGGGACAGTGAGGACATCAGCCAAGTGGTCAGGTGTCAGCAGGGATGAGCTGCACCATGGCCCTGACCGCGTGCGTCTCTGAGAGTCAGAACTGGTGAGCCCGAGGACAGGCAGAAGTCGGCTGTGTCCACTGATGACTAGCCATGGCCTCTTCCCATTATTTCCTCTTCATTATGCTTGCTCCCAGGCTACACCCAACACCCCAGAAGGAGGTTTCATACCCTCTTGGTTATTCTGCAGTTCTGGAGAGATCCTGGAACCTCAGGGGAGGCTGAAAAAAGTGCTTATGTGTGTGTCTCGTGCTGTGCACACATCTTAACTTGTGACAGACAGCACTGTGTTTTTAACTAGACGTAGCCATTTCCCTCGCAAAATTATTTTGGAAGAACAATATTTAAAAAATACATTTTAATCACGTTTGACCTCAGAAAATGACTGAAAAGATTTTAAATTTAGCATGTTTTTTGGCATAACTCTTTCATGAATAGCATGGGAAAAGTATGTGAATGATAAATCCAACTCATGGGAATGGATGGTTACCTCTGGGGGTGTAAAGTGCAAGAGAAACTTTTCCTTTTCTTGTATCTCCTTTTGTACTCCAGGACTTATTTACCATATATATGTATTTGTTTCATAAAGTGAATTGCGAGGTACGTGGGCATCTTCACAGGCCCAGATGTGGGATTGGTATGAATCGGAGAGAGAATGTCCTGAGAATCATCAGGCCTAGAACAGAAACTAGAATTCTGAGCACTGCTTGCCAGGCCACGTTTCGTTCAGCCCATCAGACCATGAGCCAAAATCTGGGCATTGTCTTTCCAGATCTTTGCAACTTCCAGCATGGTGCCCAGCCCAAGACAGGGTCAATAAACATTTATCAGATTTACAAATGGACACTACCTTTCCTCTCTCTGCGTTTTTACTTCATGATCTATAAAGTAAACCTGAATTCTCACGAATCAATAAAACTCTCTTTAGAGAAAAGTGTAGCCAAAGGATCTAATGCCCCTGGGCTTTAGGTGTTTGTTGTTTCATTTTTGCTTTATTATAAGAACTAATTGGGGAGAGAAGAAAAGCTGGAATCTGGAAGAATCATAGTCTACATATGAAACAGAAGAGACGTGTCTTTTAAGTTTTGCTTTATAAAACTGGAGGGAAAGATGGAACCGTTAAGAAAGAGATTGGCTCCATTTGTGAATGGATGTCTAGCCATTCTTAATTCATTTAGTTTGTAATAATGCCATTTAGTTAAAGAAATTAGCACTTATTAAGGAAATTAGTATGGAGATTAGGTTACTGCAGAACATTTATTGCTTGAAAGAGCAAAGTTTCAAAACATGGAGTTAATATGTCGGCATCTTTATTAATTAAATATCGTCTACAGACAGCATCTGCCTGGTGGGAGAAATGCAGTGTATAGAGAGAAATCACAGGATCCCCATAAGGTCTTCCAGCTTCCAGCAAGACAACTTTAGCCATTCAGTTATGAATCACATAAACATTTGGAAGGAATTTTGACGTATACTCAGTTTACAGAGTAAATATTCTCCCTTCGAAATGAATTTGATATTTTCCAAATCTCAATGTCTTGAGTTTTTATTTGCATTGACTTTGGATTAGCTTCTAAATACTGTGACTTTTCCTTAGTTAATTCATTCATAATATATTTATTGATCTTAATATGTGCTAAGCACAAAGCGAGCCCCTGAGTGTAGGATGACGGATGAGGCATCCCTGACCCTGTCTTCATGGGGTTCAGAGTCTAATGAGTAATTCTGACATAAATAAAATCTCCTGAATATCTATTGTGGATTTGAGCCAAAGGACCTTAGAGTTACCTTAGACTTTATCCCCAAATCAATTTATCATTAAAATCTGATCCTATACTGTACTAGGACCTAATCTTCCAGCCTGACATCCCTGTCCAGTTATTTTTTAAGCTATATTTGAATCACGACCAGTGTTCCAATCTTAAATTTCTAATAGTAAGAGAATTAATCACCAGGTTATA